TCAGGACTCTCAGGACTTCACTGACCTGGTCACTTATCTTCTAACTTGGATCAGAGATGTGATGGTGGTTCTCTAAAACCACAACAGATGTCAAAAACATTGACATGGTGCTGCTGGGAAATGAAGCCGGCACTGGTCTTAAAATACCAAGCTGGAGCCCAGCTCTGCCACAAGAAATTACTTATCTCCTAAGTAATAATATCTGCAGCTGAAATAGCAGTATTGGTCCTACATTCATTTTTACCTTGTCAAATAGTTGACAGTTCAATGCGTCTGGCTTTAATTCTGCTTTACAGGTTCTGAAGCTGGATGATATTGAGGTGCTTTAAATCCCATTGATGTGAGAAACAGGCTGCTAGTACTTAACTGCTGACCTCTACTGAATGTGTTTTCCAGCACATAGTATTTAATACTGCATGCACTAATCCAGGCTTAATGTGGAAGAGGAGAATCCATTAGATGAATTGTATAAATGCCTGATGCGCTAGAAGCAGTAAAGGGCATTTTGTGGATCAGATATTAACACCTAACCCGGTAGTGATCTGTAGTTCCTGTTGAGTTTCTTGCGTGTCAAATGTACAGTGCAGTTAGCAGCACGCTGGCAGGAGCCATTCATTAGGTGTGCAGCTGCGGGAAGTGATGGTGTGCACAGGGAGGAGCCTAGTTACGCCTGTAACTTGTGCTGTCTCCAAGTGTTGTGGCTCATGCTGGGGCAGGGTGGGTGGTCTTTAGGACACCTTGGTGGTATCTGCACAAGGAGTCAGTAGGAACTTGTCTGTGGACTGACTGGAGCAGATAATTATAAAAAAGCACAAAATAGTTAAAAGCTCAAACGCTTCCTCTGATCTTAAATACAGTTTGTAAAAGATGCTTAATTTCACCGATGCTGTGTTTTCATAGTGCTTGCATTAAACTTGTGATATTTTAAAATGAAAATTATCTTTAACTGGCACTTCTAGAAACACCAAGCAGGTGCAGTTGCTGTTGGCCACTGTAAAAGCTGCTGGTGCTCCTGACTTCCCCCGATCAGGTCAATTGTGATGCTGATGGCTTTCCAGGAAATTCGTGCTCTCCCCTGCATTGCCTCTCTGCAGTGGGCAGATAGGGTGCATTCACCATTCCTATCCTTGCTGCCTAAAAATCTGGGATCTAGGTTTTGCTAGCTTGAGAAGAGTAGAAGAAATTGGTGTCAAACTACAGAAGTGTCATATGCAGCTGGGCTGGAGTAAATGCTGAATTTCTAGACAGCTGAAGCTAGGAGGGAGTCCTGCCTGCATTAGTGCTCACTACTGAGAGGGATGTGATATGATATTAATATGGAAGTGTTGAGTCAAGTGCAGGGCAGGATCTCCAGAAACAAAGTCACTGTAGTAATTAATCATAGCAACTGAATCTGGACTTAACTCAGTGGTTGGTAGGAACATTAAGTTGGTATTTTCAGTCAAATAGCATTGTAGCTAGTAAGACTTTATTTTTCTGGCATATATATTTTTTGCTACGGTTTTGCCTTATCCAATTACAAATAAAATAACAAACCTGAAGTGCAGTTACTAATGAGGATGTGGGGGAGCAAGGCAGTAAAATAGGAAACAAAGTGACCATGCTAGTAGCAATGTTCTTAAAACACCTGTCCTGGTGTAACTTAGAGGCTGAAGCTCTTGTGCAGTAACTGTAAGTGCCTGTTAAGGGCTGAATCTTCTGCCAGGCAGGTCTATTCAATGTAACACCAGAGGAGTTTATTCTTTTTCTGGAGACTGCAAGTATGCCTAGTTATAAACTGGGAAACAGGGAATGAGTTGATAATATTGGTCTCCTTCCTGGCTATTGTGTATGTTCAGAGGTGTCAAAGAGCCACGGTGAGCAGGCAGCTAATGTCAGAACACTGAAATAGGATTTCTGTTCAGTTTAAGCTCAGCTAGAGGAGTCAAGCACATGGTGAATGCAATAACAGTTGGGTACTTGTAGGTGGGGGACTGAGCTGCATCTTTAGTCCTCCTAAATTAGTTTGACTGTAACTGAGCTAACAAGCTGCCCTAAAACTCTGCCACTCTCTTGTGCCTAGCAGCCTGTCTGAAATTACTAGAAATAAGCTCAGATAGTTGATTTGCCTTACATCAGTGAAATTGTAGGGAAGAAACCTTTCTGTGAGATCTAAGTTTATTGCATAATTTGGTCTTTTTGCCTCTTAATATGTTTAGAATTGGGCTTTTAGTGAAAAAGCTGACCTATAATTGTGGCTGTTGCTGCATCTTTCCAAGCAGTCTTGCAGCTTGTCTTGGAAATTCTTGTCTTGCTTAACCCACAGAAACTTAAACAGCATTCAGTGAGAGCAGATTGTGTTTACATAATTTCCCACGATTTCTCTCACAAAAGAGACATGGAGTAATTCTTTGAGACCTGTTTGTAATACCCTGAAAAAGCATTTGGTTTTGCTTTTCAGATTCTGGATGATTTCAACATAGAGACCTGAAAGTGGTTTTCTTTTTGTTTGGAAAAAATCCCTGCCTGTAATTCGGGGTTTCTTGTTCTGGTGGCTTTTAGCTCTGAAATCAAATTTGTAGAGAAACTTCACTTGCTTCATGCTCTGGTACAGCATCTTAGTGTGCTAAACACTTACAGGCTAGTTAGCAGTGGCTTATCAACAAGTAATGTGACTCTAAGTATGCCAACTTAGATCTCAGCTGCCTCCACATGAGAAAAGATTTCTCTAATTTCTCTCCAGTTGCGTTTTCTGGCACCAGAGCTCAAGAGGAATCCTTCGTGTGGCAAAACACCAGCTTTAATTCCATGATGATTGTCATTGCAGGCAGGCAGATAGCCCTTTTCTATTAGAGTTGTGACTGCAAAACAGGATTTAGAAGTTTGGAAGAGTCTTCTAGATCTACAGCTTTTGATTGAGTCTGCATCACATACAGAGACAATCACTGGTGCTTCAGGCTCAGCCTTTGCAGTGGTCTTCTTGAGACAAAACCCTCAGGGTTAGACAGTTTGAGAGCAGAGGGTTTTTACTGAGAGGAATGAGAGCTGTGTCCTCAGCTCCTTGACCTACCTATGTGGGATATAAACACGGTAATGCTAGTACACTTAAAAAGCAGTATGCCTTTTTTTCCTGTTGCCTGGAAACTATACCTGTGTAGAAGACATAGGTTCTGCCAGGAAATCTTGTAGCTAGCTCAACCCTGAGTTTTGTTGTCTCTTGCATTTTTTAATCTCAGTCCTTGGGCTGTTTAGCTGTCTTAGATCTCACAAAACTGCATGTAAGCACAGGAATGGGCTTTTTTGGGAAACTCCCAGTGTGGTACGGAGGAGTCTGCAGTTAGATGATGCAAGCACTCGAGTTGAAGTGAATCTGCTCTGCCCTGGGTAAATCTCTGCTCTGCTCCCAGAGCAGAGTGGCATGCTGTAGAGCCAGGCATGTCCTTGCTGCAGTAGCCGCTCCCTTCTGAGATGGTGTAGTGACATTCACTTGCTTTTCTTGGAGCAACGCCACTGGTGTAACTGACCTTAAACTGTGGGCTAGGATTGTTTAAGTGGATCATAAATCTTTTGGTTGTGAGCATGCCCTGGGAAATGACTGCGGAGTGAGGGCTCGGTGCTACTGTAACGTATCTACACATAGCCAGTATCACAAGCAGGCATGTACAGAACATAAAGCCACGTGAGCAGCTGAATTTGTTTCGTAAAGGTGAACAGACAACCTTTTCTCAGCTACCTGTCACTCTGGCCCCATAAAATTTGGGTTGCAAGGCAAAGGCATATGCTGATCAATAAGTAAAACTATAACCACGTACTTAATGGTTCAGCAATCCACTTTGGTTGCCTGCTTCTGTTTCTGGGGAATAAAACTTCCCATAGCTTGTTCTGTTGAACAAGGTCAGCACCCTGTGTCCAACTGGCATGGTTAGATGCTTAAGTGGAAGGGGGTGACCTGGGATTGGGATTCTGCTCTCATGATGTGCATCTCGCTTTTGGGATCTTTTCTTGCATTCTCAGTGAAATGTGAGCCTGGCTGAGGTGCAGGGACCAGGAGATACTTCTCTGGACATGCTGCGCTAGACTGGTGGTGGGACTTTCTTGGTGGATTGAGCAGTGCCAAGGGAAGGGTCTCTGCTCCACATTGCAGCAAGCAGTGTGTGAGACGCGCTTTCAGACGGGAGTGTTTTTGGCACTTAAGCAGTCCAGATTCAGCCTGCTTTCCTTCTGACTGGCTTTTCTGACTTCTGTGAACGGCAGGGTAGCACAGAGAAGTTAATATCCAGTTCTGGGATCTCTGCAGTCATCTCACAACGGACTCAGCTCAGAGTCTTGCCCCGCAGCTGGCTGCTGACCACTGGAAGATAATGTTTGCTATAATTGCCCATCACTATTTGGTTCATCAAGTTGCACTGATTTATTAAACAGACACAGATGGTATTCAGATCTGGGAAATGCTTGTGGTGGCAAGAAATTTTGTATTAGGGACACAGGTAGATGGGCCTGCTTAACTTGCACACAAGAAAGGCAAAAAAACCTTTGGATCCTAGTAGAGTAAGTATCTAACAAATTTTTCTTCTGCACAGAAATAGTAATTTAACATATTTGCACTGGCAAATGTAAAACAGGTCTTCACATTTGCAAAAATTTTTAGCCTGCTTCTGAACCCAGAAAAGCAGCAGTAGTATCTTGAGTTCCAGCTTTTCAAATCTATCTTACCCTGTTTAACAAGTTGTTGGATTTTGTTTCTTGACTTAGGACATGGTAGATGCCTTTTGCTTGTTTTCTGAGCATTATCAGTCCAGGTCAGTCCTGGTGTTTAGATTTTTCTTGTTTAGTTGGTGTTTTGCTCTTAAGAAATTGGGTGGAGTTATACTGTGGGGCCACATGGGTACTGGTGTATAAAATGAGTAATTTAATGGTCTTAATTGAAATAGTTTTTTCCAACTTTTCATTGTAATAGTTGCTTGTTGATGTCTTTTTTTGTTGTTGTTGTTTTGTAACTAAAATATATTGCTTTTTTCCAGGCTCATATTAAATTTCCTATCGACTATCCATATTCACCACCTACCTTCAGATTCCTGACCAAAATGTGGCACCCCAACATTTATGAGGTAAGGTGATTTTTAGATAACTTTTTCTCAGGCATGTGAGAAGGCTTTCTACTTCCTTAAATTTCTGGAAGTATTGAAGGTACTAAATGTCCCCACCTGTAACTAAAGTGGTTAGCTGTTTGTGTTAATGTCAGCTTCATGGTTGAACAGTCAAATCTAACATTGTAGGACGTAATGTTCTTGTAGGCAGGGATGGAGCTGTTCTCATACCTGCAAGTGCAGCAGGCAGCCCCAGCTGAAGTGGCATACCATGAGCATTGGCAATTTTAGGGGATTCTTAGATCAGAGCTGTTGTGTGGTGTCGTACCCTGCTGTGACACTTGGGCAACTAGTTGTTGTTTGTACTCAGTTCAAGTACACTTTAATTTGAGTGTATCCTACAAAACTGTGTGTTGAGACAAGAAATAATGGAGAAGTCTTCTGCAGCAGTCAACCTACAAATGAAGGGGTTTGGACTTGGGGTGCTCTGACTGCAGAAAAAAACAGAGCTGGGTTGGAGTCCAGCATCAGGAGTCATCATGCACTGCCCGGTCACCCTGGGAGCAGAGTGAACAGGTATCTCAGCACTTACTGTCTGCTAGCCAGTTTAAAGTGGCCCTTGGCTCAGGGCATGCATGGCTCACGTTCAGAGGGTAATGCTTTGGCTGTCAGGTCCATAATTGGATGTACAACATGATTGGATGGTACAACTAGATAGCAGGTCTAGAAGAGGAATGATTTAATATAGAAGCAATTGGTTCAAAATTACCAAATTTCACATTGCAGTGTTTGAAAGTCGAAGGCCTGTTTTCACTCAAAACTTGACTTCTAGTGGACGTCAGTCAAATCCTTGCTAAACTTTTGGATATCTTAGACAAGTGTCAGCCTGCTAGCAGTATTGGTTGAATAGTTTGAGGAGCTTTCAGAATGTTCCTATTGGTGCAGCTCTGTCACCTTATCACAGGTCTTCCTGTGAGAGATTCTGCAGGCTTCTTTTGGACTCACTTCAAAACAAGAATGTCACTTCTCTTCCTTGCTGCAAACGAAAATGCTTCAGTTGATGCCTTGGGCTTGGAAGGCCCTTTTCTAACAAGCTGTTGCTACTACATGTCCAGCCTAGAATGAGTACGCTTCAAATGTCATGGTGAAAAATGCACTGATGGCTTAATAATCAATGGCCAAAAGCCTCTCCAGAGTCCAGTGCAGAATGGGATAGTAACCAGCTTTAATTACTGGATGCTCAGGTGTCTTGCCCTAAGTGCAGAGACATCCTGAAACGAGTCATCTGACAGTATTCTGACTTGAGTTTTAGACTTGGCCCAGAGTCTTGTGAGTAGCCAAGCATGATGTTTCTCTTTAAGGGTCTATTTCAGTTACATGGGAGTTTGATCTATAAATAAAGACAACTTTGAGACCTGCAGGTTACTGCAGATCCATACTGTGGATGTTGATTCTGAATCCAGAAATTCTTATGCAGGAGGCAAGTGGGAAATAGTTACCAAATGGTATGTACAAAACGAGTCTTGGAAAGGACCTCTCCCAATCCTGGTGGGAAAGATGAGAAATTGGCTCTAGAAACAACTGAAGGTAGGAGGAGAAACTAACCCAAAGCTTGACGGGTGTATTTTGGGGTTACTCTTCAAATACTCCAGCTCTCAGCTTTGTACTTTGTGTTCGTAGCAGTGTTTCTTGGAGCTGAGGGAATCTGAAGCAGCTTGCAGGCTGTTTTGGAAACAACATTTAAGCAATGAAGATGAGCACTGGGATAACTCCAAATGAAACAGAGAATAAATCACCAAAGGGCTGGAGGCTTGAGGGTTTGTCAGGAGGAGGAAAAAAACCAAAACTTTCAGTGTAAGGAAGATGAAAGAAAGTAGCAGTTTACGGAATCTGCTGGTGGGACTGGATGGGGAGGCTGGGGCTGATGTTTCAGTTCTGAGCAATGAGACTTGAGTAACTTGTGTGTTTTCACTGTCTCAAGTTTAGTTGGGTCACCTAGCTGAATATTGGTAAAACTGCATTCATCTGTTTTTTATTTTTACGACACAACAGTTCTCAGTCTTAACAGAAGTATAGGCTATTTCCCACTGGCAAATGAATACCCTACCTTCCTTGTTTACATCTTTCAAAAATGTATGTAGGGAAGGGCTCTCTTCTTGACTATGCTGATCCCCTAAAACCTTGTGCTGATCTTGTCGGGCTCCATGGCACTGCTTAGCCCTTCCAGACTCTATTGCAGTGCTGTCCTGCTTGAATTCCCAAACATGTAACATTGACTGTTGCAAGAGGGAAGCTTCTCACATCCTTGCTTCCCTCTATATTTTCATATTTCCAAATACCTGCTCGTCCACATGCTGCTGATCTGATTGCTTGAGGAACTTCCCTGCCAAGTGCTGTGATGCTTTCTTCTGGCCACCAGCACTGCATCCCAAGAGATGGTCAAAGGAAAAACTGGGTAAATTCATCACAATTATTAATAAAAAACATAATAGGCTGTGAACATAATCTAACACTAGTAAGGTTAACTTCACCTTAAAATTATATTAAAAAATATTTCTAGATTGCACAAGCCTGTTGGAGTCCTAAAAAGAAAACTGCCTTGTTATGGCAAACTGTTCCAGCAACGTAAGTGTGTGCTTGGGTATTCAGCAGCTCCAGGTGCTACACTGCTGTGCGTAGCTGTGTTCTTGATGAAAACCTGCTTCAGAATGATGAGGGCTTGCTAGATTAGCATACCTGGCAGGGTTAGGGAGCCACTGAAATCTGGATACTGATCACAAGCCTCCAGTGTTGAAGCAGGATTTTGTTTGGCTATAAAACAAATGTCATTGTTAATCAAGGCAAGCTGAAATGTTTGGGAGGCCCTTCAGGTGAGCTGCTGCTATCTGTAGCTGTGATCGCTGGCTGGGGCTCAAAGGTACAGATGCTGTTGCTGCAAGCAGCACTACTTGGTGCTCTGGCTCCTCTGCGTTGGGCAGCGTTGGAGTGTCCCCAAAACATAGCTGAGACCGGGTGTGTGGGGAGCTGCCAGCCTCCAATCTCAAACAGGACCGATCCGCAGCTTCTCTCTTGTTCCTGTCATCAGCCTGTGTGCCTTGGAGGAGGGTGACAAGGGGACAGCGCTGCCTGCCAGCCGAGGCCGTGCCACCCCAAGGAGAGGTGCTGCCTCTAGGAACTTGTAAGTCACCCCAGCAAGGGGCAGCGAGCCAGAGGGGCCCTGAGAGGCCAGGGTCTGCTGGCTGGCCTGGGGGCCCATCCACACCGTCACCCCATCCTGCGGTAAGGCACTGGGACCCCACCGAACCCTGGGGTCAACTTCAGTGGAGAATACCAGCTGTGGTGAATGCTGCTGCAGCACTGCTATGAAGTAATTGTGTCAGAGTGCTGCTGCTGATGGAGAATTGGTTTTACAGGCTTCTTAAAATGTTTATAAATGGTCGGCATTATGGAGCCTTAAATCTATATTCAGGCTGTAACACTGGTGAGTAAAACAGATTGAGAATTACGTGGCTGTATGGCTTCCATATGCTGCCAGAATATTCTACCTCTTGCATGCTGGAAGGGATTTTCAGTGAAACCTTCAGAGAGCATCTCCTTCTTTTTCACCTGGTATTTCCAACAGCTGTATCCTAGGAGAGCAGTGTAAGCCTGCCCTGCACCATCTGTTCAACCTCCTTGTGTCCTCGGAGTAGTGTTGTACCTGAGCTAGTAGAGCGCTAAACCGTTCAATTGAAAAAACCCCTGTAGCTAACTCAGCTACCACTGGGAACAAAAAATTTTTTAACCCTACTTTGGGTCTGCTGCAACTAAAACTCACTTCTGTCACTGTAACAGTACTTGCTGAAGACCAGTTTAGTTTTATGTGACTTTATTACTCTTTTTGCTTGCTTTGCTACATTCTTTAAACCTCTTGAGATTTGTTTTGTACCAATTTATAGACTAACCCTTTTGAGCATATAAGTAGAGTAGACCCAGGAAGAACTGAGAACCATTTCCAGTTCTTGCATATTTTTACTGGTACTTGGGGTGTCCATATTAAGAGTCAAACTGCTTGGAACATAGCCAGTGTGGTAGAGTTGAGTCATCAGACCTCTGCCTCAAACCAGGCTATTCTCAGCTTTTGTTTCTGTCTTGCAGAATGGAGATGTATGTATTTCAATTCTGCATCCACCTGTAGATGACCCACAAAGTGGAGAGCTGCCATCTGAGAGGTGGAACCCTACCCAAAATGTCAGGTAACTGAATTTGATGTACAATGGTGACCTCAGAGGCCTGTTGCCCCTCTCCAAGACTAAGGCCTGTGCTGGGAGAGGTCTGGAACAGAAGTTGAGACTTTGGGGGTTGTAGGGCTTGAATTGAGTGGGAACCAGACTTACCAAGGTGTCTGAAAATACTAGAGTGCTGTGTGTCCTGATACTGAGCTAAAAATGTGGAGCCTTCTGTCCTGTTCACAGGGTTTCATGCTCTTAAAGCAAATTATTTCAAGTGTTCGCCTTTCCCAGACCATGTTACTCTACACACAGGTTTTAAAAACTCCTCCAAGATACCACTAGTGAAAAAGAACATTTTTGAGTATTCAGGCCCAGGAGGGAATAACTTTGTATACAATCCTGCCTACTGTTTGCCTTCCAGTGTTTGTTTCCATCTCCTGTCCTGCAGTGTCCTTTATTGAGCAGTCAACCAGGTAGTTTTCTTCCTGCCAGAGAAACTGAAGGATCACTAAATACCAGAGGCATTCAAAACTAACATCTCATTTTTTTTGAAACACCAGCTGAAGTTCATTCTCATTACAAGACACTGCCAATAAAGAACTGACTAGGTGACAAGCCTTAACTCATGGTTCGGAAACAGCTTTGGGCATTAATTGCTTACTGCACACACATTTTGAGTATTTCATTATATACAACCCTAAAAATTGACATGAAACTTTTCATGGTGCTAGTTCTCTGATTTCTGTTCTCCCTTACCATGGTGCAGTTTTTGGTGCTTACTCTTGGAATGTGTTGGGTTTAAGTGTGACATCTGGGGAGAAATCATTCCTCAGCTCTATCAAAGGAAATAAAACTTGTCCTTAACTGCTAGCCTGCTACCAGCATCACCCGCTGGGCCAAGTGGCGATGGAAGTGCATCCTGCTGGGGTCCCACCTGGCTTTGTAAGGCTCCAGAGTGTCGGGCAGGAGCAGCAGGGCTGGAGGTGTGGGAGGGGAGCATGCTTGTAATGAGCTGCCTGTGTAACACAGGGCTTCTCTGCAGCTGCTGAATTTTGTAAATCCTGTGGGAGTGTTGACAGTTTACTTACAGTGACTGGCCGAAGTGTCTGGAGGGGGGGAATGTCATTCTTCGACTTCGAGAGCTCCTGTGCTTCCATCTCTAATGGTGTCAAGCATGCTCATGAATTGTTTTGAACACGGATGATATGGGCTTTCCCATCACTTGGAGCTAGATGAGGCAGGTATAAGTAAATATGGAAACATCCATCAAGATGTGAAGGAATGCAGCTGTGGTCTGTGTGGCAGAGAATACTGCTTTTCTTCTCATACTGAGTCCCATAGAGTTGAGGAAGTGGTGGCAGAGCTTAGAATTGAGGCTTTTTGATAATTTTAGTTGCCCTTTTCCATATCTCCTATCTCCCCTGGGAGGGTGAAGGTGTCTGTCCTTTGAGGTGCACAAACTGAGCACAGTATTCATGACGTTGGTACATCTGTATCTTGTGAAGATAGATGATGCCCTATCTCCCTATTGCTTGGTTTCCTGAGGATGCCCATTTTTGTTGGCTTTTTTTTTGGCTGCCTAAAATGTAGACAGTTTCTGCAGCCTCATTGCACTAACATGATTGTCAGTACAGTCTAAGACAAAAGTTCTGACTTTATACTGGAGACCAATAATGTGCTAGGACAAATCTATACCTATCTCTAAAGGTGGATCTGAGAGGCTACAATGTGAATAGCAGCTAGAATAAAAAAAAAGATATCCTTTTTCATCAAGGTATATAACAGTATGTACTGGTTGGGAGCACCAGCCAGTCTACATAATGTCTATTTTGGGTGGAATTCATCTGTGTCTGAGCCTTCTGTTGATGCATGGATAGAAAAACACACTTAACTGGCCTGTTTCCTTTGAGCCTCTGCTGGTAAAGGGATGTAGAGGGAGTCACTCTGAAGACAACAGCGCTGTAAACACTTAAAGCAGCTCCCTGTTCCCTAGAATGGGGGGATGTAAGAAAGCAGAAGGCAGGATTGAGATCTCCACTCTTCATGCAGTCAGCTTGTGTGAAACAACGTGCTAGAACAGCCTTGCCTGAGAGAAACAGATCTCTGTCAGTGGTGCAGAGGGTCAGTCTATATCCAGTCCAGTGCAGGTTGTATCTGATGCTGAGGCTGTTTTCAGTCCCATGTGGTTGAACCTTTTTTCATGGTTTTGGTCCTGTCAGATCCCACGTGCTGGAATCCTTGTTACTGTACTTTACTTGTTTACCCACCGTAGCAGGGTTTGGGTCAGAGCAGACTCTCCAGCTCTTTACGGTATCAGCAGTGATGCAGCTGATCTAATGCACTGGTTGGGAAGAAAGAGTACAGAGAGCCTCACCTCTAATAGTTGCCTTGGTGCGTTTAAGTAGCTTTGCCATGACTTTGGAGTCTGGGACACCACAGTGGAAATCAGCTTCTCCTCACTCCGTTGATGTAAGTGTGGTAGAGCAGATGCTAAATCCAGACATGAATTCCTGTCCTCAGCCTTCCCTAGACTTTGCTTGCTCTCCAGTAAAGCTGCTGCAGTGATGCTGCAGTTGACGTGCTGGATTTACAGCCTGGTTCCTGAGAATCAAAGGCTTTAAAATGAGTTCTTGAAATGAAATAGAAAGCAGTTTCTCTTGTGTGCCCATCATTCCAGTCTGACCAGATAGGCTTTTATTTCAAGAACTGCTTTTCTTTTCCTACTGAATTATGTAATTTGGAAAATAAATTGTACAAGACTTTCCTGATAGCTTGTCCTGGTTTGAGCCTAGAGGGCATCTGAGCACCACAGAGCTGTTCACTGACCCCTTCCACTCAGGAATGGGAAGGAGAAAATAAAGCAAAAGGCTCAAGAATCAAGATAATAACAGGGAAGGATGACTCATGCATTATGGTCCTGGGCAAAAGACAGACTCATTAGGGGAAGAAAAAAAGAGAACATCCTTTTAATTCAAACACTAACAACACTTAACAGACAGGGTAAGACAGTGAGGAGCGTTACCAGATCTTAAAAACACCTTCCCCCTACCCCTCCCTTCTTCCCTATGGCCAGTCCTGCCACTCCTTCCTCCTCAGGCAGAGGACCCCTCGAATTCTCCCCTGCTCCAGCGTGGGGTCCCTCCCACAGGGACAGTCCTCCATGAGCTTTCTCCTGCGTGAGTCCTTCCCACGGGCTGCAGCTCTTCCCATGCTGCCCCAGTGTGGGCAAGCATTTCCTGGAATTCTATCCCAGACATACAGTCTGATAGATGTGTTCAGCATGTGCTGCTCTGAATGTGCCCCTAAATCAATGCAAGTACAGCTGGGGATGTGGTGTCCTTTAATCACGGGCTGCAAAGCAGTTGCTATGTACTGCTGTATTTCAAGCCCTATTCCTTGTATGTTGTTCTTCCCTTCCAATTAAATCAAAAGCTGTTGCCTGCAGGATCACCTCAGACAGGTGAAGCTATTGCAACAGTAGCTACAGCCAGGTAGCTGGTGTGTACAGCTGCTGGATGGGACTTGCTGTTGAGTTTTGTGAGGATCAAAGGGCTGAACCTCTGATGTGGCATGAAGTGTTGGAAATGCAGGAGAAGGGTCTGGGTGAGGGAAGTGGTGTTTGCCAGCAGTGCAGGGCAGCTAACTCTGTACTGCTGCTAGAAATCCAGGAAGGCTGTCTGTCTGCGGGGGGTTACATGCCTGGCTTTGCTGAGCACCAGCAGCTAAAGCCTGCTGGGTCCTTGGTGGCTTGCCTGGGTATTGAAAAACTTCTGCACTGTCTTTCTCTTGCTGTGCTCAGCTTTAGTGATGCACGAGCTGAGGAGAGACCTGCCTACAGCTTCCACTTCTGTACACCAGGTGGGGCAGAGGAAGCAAGTGCAGCCTCATCCCATAGCCTTGGGTTGTAGTGGTCCTTCTCCCTACACAGGGCAGGCAGAGAGCCTGGCTTTCTGCTGGGAGGCTGCATGTCACCAGGAACAGGCTCATGAAGCAGGTTTCCAGCCCTGCACCTTTCATGGGTGATGTAGACAAGCTGAATTCTGTTCTGAACCCAGCTTTGTCTGCTGCCTCATCACAAGCACCTGCACAGTCTCTAGTCAGATCAGATCCTTGAGGTTTGTATTCCGTCACCGTCCCTACACTGATGGCTGGGGTCTGAAGTTCATAATAATCTTTTCTCACTTCAGATATTATCCTTAGTTATCATTAGCTTAAGTTTTGATTTTAAACAAGTTTCTGATGCATCAGTTAAAGAAGTAGTGGACATCCAGAATCTGTGAATGTGCTAGCTCTGACTCTGCTGTTGTGGTTACCTTTTTCAGGACTATCCTACTGAGTGTAATCTCTTTGCTTAATGAGCCCAATACGTTCTCTCCTGCCAATGTGGATGCATCAGTCATGTTCAGGAAATGGAGGGACAGTAAAGGAAAAGACAAGGAGTATGCTGAAATCATAAGGTAAGCTTTGCCATGTGTGATGCTGTGCTGCTTTGAACCCTGTAAAACAGGCTGCTGGCAGAATTTGCTGAAACCAGCTTCTCGCTGTGGTTGCTTCTTCAGAAATGAATTTTACCACCTTATTCCAAGTCTAAGTTTCTGGTCTGTCTAGGATTTTCAGCACACAGAAGCAGTGAAAACGTATGGAATATGAGGACTGGGATGATCTGTCTTTAAATTGTTCATTTTCAGACTAATCTGGCATGAAGCTCTGCAAAACCTATTGGCTGTTAGTAAATCCCAGTGGAAGGCCCTGCTTGCCTTTGAGCACTGCCCACATTGCTTGGGATGTAATTAAAACTGACTGCGTCCTGTGTCGTGGTTTGAGCCCGGTCAGCGGCTAAACGCCCCGCAGCCGCTCACCCACCCTCCCCCCACTTGGGAACGGGGAGGGAACCGGAGGGGCAAAGGGAGACTCGCGGGTTGAGGTAAAAACAGTTTAGTAACAGTGACAGAACAATACGCTGACAGCAGTATCAGCAGGTAATGTACAACACCCTGCCCCTGGCCGGTGATCCCCAACACCAAGGCCCCACGGCCACACTCCCGGCCCTCTCCTGCCTTTATATAGTAAGCACAGTGTCACATGACATGGACTATCGGCCAATCAGGGCCCAGCCCTCCAGCTGTGCTCCCCCCACCCCCGCACACAGGTGAGGGCACTGGGGCCTGGGGAGCCCCTGGGGTCTCAGGGGGCTGCAGCTCCTCCAGCTACTAAAACAAACAGGAACTCTAGTCCAGCCCCAACCAGGACATCCTGCTAATTCCGTGCTTAATGCACTCATGAATCATAATCTTGTCCCTCCGATTCAAAGGAGTATCAGCAGGATTTGGTAAGAGCTTGCAAATCTGGGTTTGATGGGCTGGAAGCACTGTTCAGTCTTCACTGCCCCTTGCTGAGAAGTTCATGGTTTATCAGGGGCTGCGAGGAGATGCTGTAAACTTGAGCCGGGGTTGGTGTAGAGCAGTGGACGGGCAGCCCGTACTGCGGTGGGACCGCTTGCCTGGGGCAGAGCCACGGCCACCAACTCCGTTGGCTGGGCGTGCAGGGTACGCGCCTGGTTGGAGCTACACAGGGCAGTCAGTCTGCGCGAAGAGCCTCGCCGGGAGGTTATCCTAGCCCCCTCCAGCTCCCGTGGCTTCAGCGGAGCCGGATGGAGCCACAGCTTGTGGCAGAGTGACAAGCAGGCGGGCGGGGGTGAAGGGGCAGGCTGCTGCCTGCTCCCCGCCCTGCTGGGAGGCAGCACAGGCCAGCGAGGGCTGACAGCCTGAGTGCTGCCGGGAGGCAGCAGCCAGAGCCTGTCCCGGGGTGACGGGAAACACTTGTCTTCTGCCAGCCTCGGGCAGCGCCGGGGTTACGGCTGTGTCTCGGGGTGCATCCACCTTCTTCAACTGCTGTTGCCCTCCGCTGGGAGCTCGGAGATGCCAAATGTGTGTGGGAGTTGCACTTACGAGCACTCCGGGGCAGAGTCATCAGTGGTGGGGCCGCTAAGTCGTCGTAGGAAATCCCTGAGCATCCCTCGCCTAGCAAATGTCATAAAGTTTGTTCTGAGCGCCGTCAGGTCTCTGGTGCGGAGTCCTGCAGGGTGACTGGTTTCACGTGTTGCTGGGAGCGTGTGTGCTGTAAACACCCTTGGAGTGCTCCCAAGCCTGGGGCTGTGGGAACTGAATCTGCATGTGTTGCTTCAGCCAAACATCATCTCTCCCGCCTGGGCTGCCAGGAGGGCTGGGCTGGGGCTGCCGGGAGGTGGGGAGTTGAGCCACGCTGCTGCTGGCACCGGGCCCCACTCACGTTGCTGTGTCATCCTCCCCGCAGGAAACAGGTTTTGGCTACCAAAGCCGAGGCAGAGAAGGATGGTGTGAAGGTCCCCACTACACTGGCAGAGTACTGCATCAAAACTAAAGTGCCTTCCAATGACAACAGTTCAGATTTGCTTTACGACGACTTGTACGATGATGACATTGATGATGAAGACGAGGAGGAGGAGGATGCCGACTGTTACGATGATGACGATTCTGGCAATGAGGAGTCGTGACCTGCTCCCTCTATGCCCCTGTACTGCCCTGCCAACTCAGGCCAGAAGGGAGCAGCGGTAACCTAGCAGCAGTCCAGCAAAAAAGTGTGTGGGGGGGGATCAAAAAAAAACTTTTTGTCTCCTGCTGTCTCCTGTTGTATGGATCTGTTTGCTCCTTTTTTATGGACCTCTTAGAGACCCTCCACAGAATGTCTGAATTCTTGCATTCTTAACCCTTTCATCACTGTATTATTTCTTTTTAAGAAAGAAACTCCCCTTTTCACTTCTCTACAAAACGCTCACAGCACAACAGGTTTGCTCGCGTTTAGATTCTTGAATTAAATGCAGTCTTGCATTGAGATGTTTAATGTATTTAAAGCTGGAACAAACCCATCAGAAGCTGGGTGTTTGGGAGCTCAAGTACTGCATTTGCTGGGAAGAAAAAAAAAATCCACACAAAGCAAATTGCCAAGGTTTAGCTGCTCCATTTACAATAATAGCGTGTGTACATTCGTTTAGCCTTGTGGTGGTGGCTTTTCCTTTATAAGGTGTGGGGCGGAGAGTGTAAAGCTACTGTGTGTTGAGCTTGATGGGATGTCACTGAAAGGTACAGTATTCCTTTTCAGCCTGCTCAAGTTGAATAGTTGGCTCCTGGAGCCCCAGAGGGCACAATCAGCTTTGTCTCTGAAAAAGGGTCGTGATATGAACCCTAAAATAAACACTTAACACTTCATGTCTGTACAACTGAGCCCTGCGTTGCTTTTTTTTTTTTTTTTTTTTTTCCCAGTCCAGTTTGGGGTTGAAAAAGTTCAGTTTAGCCATGTTGCCGAAATCTGCTGCCAGCTGCCCCTCTCTGGAGGAAGGAGAACCGACATGCATTCCGCTGCCCAGCGGGCCAGCATTCATCCTGCATTTCTTTCTGACAGCGGGAGACACTGATAGCCTCCTCCCCCAGTGCTTGCTAGCAGCTCTTGATTCCTGCAGCCCAAGTCCAGAGCCTTTTTTTCTGTTGCTTATGTAGGTCATGTGCTGGTAAATGCAGCCCTGCTATAACCCCACGGGCTCTGGTGGGGTGGGTAGAAGTCAAAGCTGGTTTTGGGGTGGCCAGGATTTCCCTGTGCCTGCTGTGGCAGAGGGGAGGGATGCGTGCTGGGCCCTTCCCTGCCTGGCTGGGGCATGGCTGAGCATGTGCAGCCCCACAAGAGGAAGCACACAGTGCTTTTGGGCTGGAAGAGAAGGCCAGCGGCAGGGTTTGATGGGCTATTTAGCAGCATGCTTCAGCTGGCGCACTGAGCTTGTCCTCCTGCATGTTTTTGGGAGCTCGTGGCGGAGCTTAGGGCCTTCCCTCCTGGGCAGGTGTGATCCTGCATGCTCGTGCCTGCAGAACCCCCTCCCTCAGTCTCTCGGCATCCTCACCCCCTTGCAGCTCGCTGCTCACGTTCTCGGCTGTGCTGCGGTGGCTGGAATTCCCGTCTCGCATGCTCCCTGGGTGGGCAGCCAGCCCTGCCCTCCTGCCCCCCTGCCCTGGCACCCGCAGGAGCAGCTCTGAGGCGCTGCTGGCCCTGCTCGGGCGAGACCCTCCATTCCCACGGGTACAGAGGTGGTTTCCCCGGCAAGAGCTGCAGGCTTGGGCATTTCTTCATGCCTCCCCTTTGTCTATCTCAGGGTTTCCAATGGTACGTCACCAGCTGCGGTCCCTCAAGGGGGTGCTTTGTTGGGAGTAGACTTTGTTCTGCGGTCAGCTCAGTGGCTTCGTCCCGGGCGAGGGGTGGGGATGAGCCCCGGCAAGCTCCAGGCGTGCTGCCGGGAGGAGGGAGGAGGGGAGAAGGCTGGTGGGGCTCTGAAGTGAGCAAGGCAGATGTGTTTTCGCAATGCTGCCTGCCTGGGATTTGCTGCAGCAGGGACAGTCCCTGCCCCTCTGCCCCAGGGTGTGCTAGCGGTGCACCCCTCGGCCCCCGGCGGAGTAAAGGCAGCCCGAAGTGGTGATGCCTTGTCCCCCAGTGCTCCCCGCGGTGGTCTGCCCTCCTGCTTGCATGTTCCCCTCAGCCCCTGGTGCTTTTTGGAGCCAGCAGTGGGGGTTCCCCTGCATCTAGTGATGGCGTGGGGCCCCCCCCAGCTTCGCCCCAGCCCTGCAGGGGCAGTGCCAGCGTTGGCGAATGGGTCCCTGTGCCTCCTGGCCACCGCACTGGTCTTGGGGATGTCCTGGGACAGGGACACCAACCTCCAGCTTTTGGGGATCTGTTTTGGGGTGAAGGAGCAGACTATGGCAATGCTGGCTGTGTTGATGACTTGGTTTGAAATGAGGATACTGCATCTTTCAGGATTTCCTGTGTACTTTTGACCGTCTTCACTGTATACTTTCCAGTGACTTGTATTTTCAAGCTTGATGTTGTAAGATGCATTACCATGACTCTTCTGTTACCTTTTTTTAAAGGTAAAAAGCAACCTATTTTGAGAGCTCCTACATAAACCAGACTGATTTCTCTTCCCTGCTGTCCTGTGCAGTGTCATTGCTTGTTGACTTGCTGGTTTCCTTTCTTTGAGATACAAACTGAAGTATGAGGGTTTTTTGAAACTATTTAAGAGATTGCAGAAAAATGTTTACCTGATCTGTGTATTCTGGTTTTTTTCTTAACCCTTTTCTCATGTCTCAGCCAATACTACTAGCGTTTACATTTGCAACTACATAGCCCCTTCAAATGCAGTTTTCAACCATTCTGAAACCAGCAGGGTACACTAGATTTCTTAGTAGTTTTCTTAGCTGAAATCCCAGCTGTTTTCCTTTTTTTCTTCAGTATAATTTACCAGAAAGAATTAACTGATGCATTTTTGTGTTGTCTCCCCCTTCAGTAGTTATATTTTGTCTTTTCTGCACATCTGTCTACTAATAAAAATGTGAAATGACAATATCCCTGTACTCTTACTTCCCTGTTAATTGAGCTTGTTTATTTGCATGGATTACTTAAAGCTTTGGAGAACAGCTACTCACAAGTTCGGTGCTGCTCCAGCATCAATGCCTATACATACACATAAATAAAACAGTGCTGCTCTTTGAAAGCTGCCTGCCTGAACCCAAGACTAAAGAATGAACTGGTTAAGAGAAGTACCTGGCCTCGGGCTTCGCTCTGGTAATTAGTCTTCTGAAGTCAGGCAGAGGGAGACCTAGGGGAAGATGGTTTATGCTCTCATGGGACTGCAGCAGGGGCTTGGGAGTGGGGGCAGAGCTGCGGGCAGGGTAGGGGCAGAGCGCTCAGACAAGGCGGGAGGCTCCTTGCTGGGGCAGGGAGCTTTGACCTGATGCATCAGACTGGCAGAGGAATTGAGGGCATTGCTGCCAGCCCCTCAGGGTGCTTGTCCTGCCTGGCCAGTGCCGTTCCCTGCAAGCTCAAGAGTGAAGAAGTTTGCTTCTGCAGTGCCTCACAGCTGCAGTTGAGCTAAAATTATCAGGACAAGTGTACAGGAGTTGCACTCGCTGCACTTGGCATCGTTTGCGGCGCAGCAACTGCTGAGTCAAACGTGGTTGTGGCCTGAGTGCTTCGGCTTCACAGCTGTGCTGGAGGAATGGTGATGGCATGTCAGGGCTGCGCTCCCAGAGTTTCTGTACCGGGGAGCAGGACTGAGCGCGATGGTGCTGTCTGTGCTGACTGGGATCAGGCTGGCTTGTACCTCCTGCCTGGCTCCTATGGCACTGGGCTGCCCAGAGCTGCTTCACCCAGCAGAAGGTGTGGTACCAAAGGCAGGACAACCTCTCCAGCCCACCCTGCACCGTGTAAACCCAACAGCCACTTGCACAGAGTTTGTTTGTTTTTTTTTTTTTTTTTTTTCCCCCCTCCTTTCCTTGATGGCCAGGTGCAGCTGAGCTGCCTTGGCTTTACCATCAGACTGTGGACCAGGAGGTTGGAGAGGAGATTGCTGCAGGAGAGCCCTGCTGGAACCAACAGCATAAGGCAATGGGAAAAGATCCTGTTTAGGGTCACCTGGAGAGGAGACTGCCTGCAGCTGACTGCAGTGCTGCTGGCGGGCAGCACCCTGGGGCAGCTGGGAAGGTGCTGGAGATGCCTTTGCTGCCTTGCACTGGGGAAGAGGAGGGCCCTTGCCTCCAGGCATGGCAGCGCTGCTTCTGTGCCCACAGCCACGGCTGAGGACGGACGGTGTGCTGCTGGGGACAGGGGAGAAGCACTGGGTGAAGTCCTTGTGGGCGTCTCCCTTGCAGCGGCTCTGCACCAAACCTGGGGCTCAGGGTGCTGCGGCGCGCTGGCACAAACTCTCTGTTGCCTTTTGCCACCGCTTCTGGGCCCTGACACACAAGCAAAGACTGACCTGCGCCTGTGAGGCAGCAGTGGCTTTCTATAAACAAGAAACTACGTGTGGGAAAAGGAAGTTTGTTTTTCAAAGCCTAGCTGGAGTGAAGCAGCAGCTCTGAACACGAGTGAATGAGGTGCCACGGCTGTGAGCCCTGTGGGCTCAGCTGCTGGTGCGGCCCTTGCACGAGCTGACCCCAAGGCCCCAGCCTGCAGGAACAGTTTTGCCTTCTTTGACATTCCGGCCCCAAAGCCTGGGGCAGTGGGACAGCAGCTGCCAAGGCCTCGGAGCAGCTGCTGAAGTTCAGTGTCAAAAGTTGAGCTGGGGACTAGGAAGGCCAGGGCAGTTCATGTGCTGCTCCAAGGTACGGGGGGCTGGGCATCACACTGACTTCCCCTAAGCCAGCTGGATCCCACAGGACCCGAGTGTTGATCAAAGTATGATTCTAAGAAGGTAAAGTGGTTCTCAGGGTAGAAACAGATTTTTTTTTTTTTTTTTTTCCTTCTCTCCTTGTGGGTCTTGGAACAGAACTGGGAAGTACAAACAAGGCCCTTGCCTGCTGTGTGAACACAGATGGCTCCACACCTACCCACCTCTGCTGCGCGGGATGAGCCCGGGCAGGAACCATCACCACCGAACCTTCCTCCCCGGCGAGGCCATCGACCTCGCGGGCGAAGCGAGGGAGGGCAGCGCTGCGGCCGCGCTCCCTCCTCGCCTCCCCCGGCCGTGCCGCGGGGACTCCCGAGCAAGACGCCGGAGGACAGACAGCAAAGGCAGCGAGGTGATGCTTGTGGCAGCAGGCAGGGCGCTGCCCAGGTGCCTGCGAGCTCTCTGAGCACCGAGGGGCACTCACCGCCGACACACGGCGTTCGGCATCCCCCGCAGACCCGTCGGCTGCACTCACCCTCCCAGCTCAGCTGTTGTCGCAGCAGCAGGCGGAAAGGGACGGGCTGCGAAGGCAAAACTGCTCCCCGAGCCTTTGACAATGCAGACAAACACCAGGGACACGCTCAGATCTTTATTAGGTGGAGGAAGGGCTAAAAAGAAATAAAACTCCTAAAACATCCACTGCACTGGTGCAGGACAAGAAGGACCAGGAGTTGCCTCCGGGGTCTTTGTTTTAAAAAAAGTGGGGAGGGACAAGTGAAGTTTCCATCCAGTAGCTCTGGCTTTCCTGGGCAGCGTGGCTCACGGCAAAAAGAGGTACAAGACACAGCTTATACTTTTATTTAAGAAACCGCTACATAGTTTTTGCCTTTAATGATGCAAAGGAGGTTCCAGGACACACTGAGCCATCCAAAGTCTCTTGCTAGAGAAACAAACAAACAAACAAACAAACAAACAAAAAAAAAAAAACAACCAAACAACCCCAAACACAAATAAAACCCTGTCTTTTTTTTTTTTTTTATTATTATTCTAAAATTTAAAAATAAAAAGGTGAGGCTGCAGCTCAGGGCCACAGTGACCAAACTGCCCATGAGAGTTCATCTTACATAGCAGGAGGGAGGGGGGACATGAAAGAAAGGGGAAGGCCCACAAAACATTTTTTTTCTTCCTTTTTTTTTTTTTTTCTTTAAAGTAACAGCTATACTGGGGGCTGAGGGCAGAAATCAAACCAACAAAACACATCTTGATTTGCTTTTTTTGGGGGACAGGCCTCCTTATTTGCCTGAATTTAGAACTGCATTAAATAAATGGGCTCCAGCTCCAAAAAAAATGGCATAGTTTGTCTGTGACAGAGTTACAATGCCCATAGAGCTTTAAAAAACAAGGAAGGATGCCCTGGTGCAGATGGGAAACGAATAATTAGTTTTCCTACAAAGAAAATAAAACAGGCTGCAAGATGCAGAAAACCACATTTAGGCTCTATTACATTTACAAATACATACATAAATATATTACATACAACAGCAACTCAAAGAGGAAGCGGGCGAGTCACACAGAAGATGGCTGGCTGGCTGCAGTTCTCCCCGCACAGACGTTTGGCTGAGCAGTTATTTTTCCTAATAATTCCAGGAATGGGCTTCGGCATTTTTTTTTCTTTTCTCTTCTCTTTTGTTGTTTTTGTTTTGTTTTGTTTTTTCCTTTTTTTTTTTTTTTTTTTTTTTTTTTCCTCCTCCTCCTCCTCTCCTTTCATTTTCTCCTCCCTCCTGGTTTCAGATTTAGTTTGTCCAGTATGGAGAAGTGCCATAGGCGGTTTTGGTAGCCTGAGACTTTTGCTGCATGGTGCTGGGTTGGTTGCGTTGGCCAGATCCACCCTACAAATCGGAAATGAAGGAGATATGGGCATCAGCTGCCATAGCACCAGTGCTCCCAGGAAGATGAAGTGCTCCCGTCACCAGAAGAGCTGCCACCCCTGGGGACAGCCCTGACACCCACCAATGCAGCGATGCTCCCCCCTGAACGGATCCATCTCTGCCCTGCAACATCTCTGCATCTCGCAATCCAGGACCAGCAGCCACCGAAACACCAAGCAGGAGTGTGGGGGCACCGCCCCACTGCCCTCCCCCTCCCCAAGACAGGTTCAAGCACAAGGACGGAGAGGAGCAGGACTGGGGACAGTGAAGGAGCTCTCTCAAGGTGGACAGAGGCGGGGATCCACCAGCTGGGGATGTCACACATTTGGAGAGAGAAGTAATTTCCTCCTTCTGGACTCTTAAGGCAGAACACTCTGGTTTTGCAGGGAATATTTATAGTGAGGAAAGGAAATGCATGGGCTGATGAAACCAACTCAGAGCTGACATGCAACCTGCAAGGGGATGCTTGACTCTCCCGCCTCGAGTTCCAGTACAAGTGCTCACGTCCCACTCTCCCGCCGCAGCCAGGGAACAGCAGCGCCTGCCTCGGCTTCGCACCTCACAGCCCATCTCCACACCCCACATCAGGATGGCCTCTTCTCAGAGCCCCACATCAGGATGGCCTCTTCTCAGAACTACGGGCTGGCTGAGGCTGGCAGGGACCTCTCGAGGTATCTTGTCCAACCCCTCTGCTCAAGCAGGGTCACCTAGAGCCAGTTGCCAAGGGCCATGTCCAGACAGCTCCAAGGATGGAGACTCCACCACCTCTCTGGGCAAACTGTGCCAGTGCTTGGTCACCATCCCAGCAAAAAAGTGTTTCCTGACGTTCAGAGGAACCTCTTGTGTTTCAGTTTGTGCCCATTGCCTCCTGTCCTGTCACTGGACACCACTGGAAAGAGCCTGGTTCTGTCCTCTTCACACCCTCCCTTCAGATATTTATATACATTGATGTGATTCCCCCAAGCCTTCTCTTCTCCAGGCTGAGCAGTCCCAGCTCTCCCAGCCTTTCCCCATAGGAGAGATGATCCGGTCCCTTCATCATCCTCGTGGCCCTTTGTTGGATTCTCTAGTACATCCATGTCTCTCTTGTACTGGGAGCCCAGCACTGGACACAGCACTCCAGGTGTGGCCTCACCAGTGCTGAGCAGAGGGGAAGGATCACCTCCATCAACCTGCTGGCAACACTCTGCCTACTGCAGCCCAGGGTCCCATGGGCCTGCTTTGTGGCAAGGGCACATGTGTTTTGGCTCACGGTCAACTTGGTGTCCACCGGGACCCTCAGGGCCTTTTCTGCAAAGCTGCTTTGGCCCCCAGCATATACTGGTGCACATAGGGTTGTTCCTCCCCAGGGGCAGGACTTGGCATTCTCCCTTGCTGAACTTCATGAGGTTCCCTCCCCAGGCTGGTCAACGGCTTCGAGTCTGTCAGTCTGCAAACATTGTCGAGGCCCTTTCCCAATGAGCGAAGCAAAAACCAGAAGGAAGCAAAAACCCCCAAGACCCAGCTGGGATGTGGGTGGGAACAATCTGCCCTCAGGCATGCTGCAGAGGCAGAAAGGGCCGACTCACCTGCCCATCTTGCTGGAGATGGTGATGCAGCATCTGGGAATGAGGCTGCTGATGAGCAGGCAGGATATGGAGAAATGGGGCTGGAGCATAACCCGGGGCAGCACCAGGGTTCAGGGGCCCAGTCGATCCGAGAGCAGAGGGCAGGCTGAAAGGAGGCGGCGTGCCAGCATGGAATCCCTGCTTGTCATACGTCTGCACGGGAGGCGAGGGGGGACAGCATCAGAGAGTGGTGTGAGCAGCCCCACGGTGACCAGACAAGAATAAGAGTAGCCCAAACACACCTCACCTGAACCTTTCACCAACCCCCATGAGCAGTCAAATCACATCGAATACCTGCAAGCACTTCAGCAGATGAGTTTCAGCTCCTGTTCTCACCCATATTTCTGCACTAATTCCTCCAACATTTGGTTTTATTTTCACGCTATTGTGTTCCTTTTTTCCCTGACCTCTTTTCACTCAGTGGGACATGAGACTGCAGCAGCTGCCTGAAATCAGTCCTTCATACACTGCAGGGTCTCAGCATGGAATTACTCGACCTACCCAGGGCAGCAGAACTCGCAATAAGATTTTCCTCCTCCTGGCCAAAGCTTGACCCCTAACACTAAGTGTGTAACAGAGCTGGCTTCCTACCTGTAAGCATGGATCACAGCCAGACATTCCCCTGGATGAGGGTGTAGAGAGGAGAAAACAGGAGCTGGACATAAGCTCACTGCACACCATGGCTGGACAAAGTGTTTTCTGCTTTCCCTGGGAAGCTGTACGCTGGGGATTGGCCACAGGAGAGTGTGGGACAGGGACCCTCGGATGTTAGGGGTGGGCACTACTGGCTGGTCTGTATGGTGAAAAGCAAAAAGCCTCTCCACTCACCTTCACTGGGGGCTACTTTGACTAAAAAGATTAGCACCATCACATTTCATTTGCACCCAGGCTGCAGCTCGCACGGGCCTGCGTGTGGCAGCGTAGAGCGTGTGCCCCTGCCAGCAGCTGCCGCGGTAGAAGGAACGGGGCAGAGAGAGAGGCTCCATGCCAACAGCAAACAGCCAGCCTAAGAAATGCCATGGCCTGCTGCCCCTGAGACAGGCCAGCCTGGGAACGGAGGGCAGCCATCAGCCTGGACCCAGGCCAGAGGGGAGGAGGGTCCAGCGTTGCTCACCTGAGTCTTGTTATAGACTGAGCCACTGATGTCAGGCACACCTGTGTTACTTGAGGTCACAGAAACACCTGGAAAACAAAACACCACTGACAATGAGAAAGTCAACCACCGTGCGGCATGAGCCCCGTGCTTTGCTCCCTGCACCACCACGGATGCACCTTTGCCTGCAGTCGCTGCACCACCGGCCCTGCTGCCGCTGCTGCCAGCCCCGCGGGTTCTCCGTGCTCTCAGACCCACGGCACCCCACTCGGGAACAGCAGAAAGGGTTTGGTTCCTTGCTTCTGCTGCGAAGCGGGAAATCAGCCCGCTGGGATAAATCACCCACATCCACGACCCAGCGGTTACCGCTTGGATGCAAACGCATTTCACCAGGCAGCAGCTGCCTGCACCGAACACTCATTTAAACTCATGAAAAGTCAGGTTTCCCCTAGGATTAGGGATGCTTTTGGCTCTGTTGCAGCATTCAAGAGCTTTCCAGTAGTGCACTGAGCGATGAGACTCAGCATCTGCTACACGTTTGAACCCTTGTCCTTTTACATTCTGCAGGAGGGTGAGGTCTGCAATGCTCCTCTGCCCTGAGAGAATAAGTATCACTGGTTCAGGCTGGCCTCCACCTGGACCAGCTGATGCCACAACAGGCTCAGAAACACTCACTGTGAGTAAGAGGCCCTCAAACCAGTCACTTATTCATAGATTTACAAAGACTGGCTCTAATCATTTCACTTGGACTGTAATAAAACCAGTGGTTCCTTTGACCAGTGACTCAGAGGACTGGACTCAGGGTGTGCATTGCTCTGAGGTTGTACCCTTCCTAGGACATTCCTCCTTTTTGGATTGCTGCTCCACAGAGGGCAGCATGATCAGCTCTTGGCTGAAGACAGTCCAGCTGGTGTTTCAAATGCACAGTAAATGCTTGGTATTTGCTTAAGCCCAAGGATGAGCCAGTTAGTGCTAAGCAGTTCAGTATACATTTCTCAGGTCTAACCAGCATGAGCAGAATAAAGCTTTCACATAAGCTGTATAAATTCTTCAGCCTTTACAGTCACAAAGGAAACATTTCCAGGCATGAAACAAAGTGATGAGTTACAGGGTATATGAACAGCAGCTGAAACAACAGCCAGAGATGTGTGAACTGCCCTGTTCATCCCTAACACACAGCTATCTCAGGTGCCTACCAAGAAACTCAAGATCTATTTGTTTGGCAGAGGACCATTTCAGCAGCAGCATCCAACTGCTCAGGTTTCAGCACTGCTACAGCACCACTATACTTCAGCAAAGAAAACTTCAGCAGAGTAAACAGCTCACCATTTCTCCCATCTATAACTGTGGACAAAGCTGCGCATCAGCCACACAAATCCTTATGCAACGTTCAGCCATGAGGTTTAGAAGGAATATTTGGGCCTTTAAAAAAGGATTTTGTATACGGGAGATGGAGAAACAGCTTGGAGAGTGACCCTGTTTAGAGCTGGCTGCTGTGTTGACTGCACAGCACTGGGAGCTCGCCTTGCTAAATCCCACTCAAGAGCAACCTCAAGTCTCACGTGTTACCTTTCCCAGGTCCAGTGCCAGCAGATTTGTTTTGTGCTTGAGATGACCCACTGTAGCCTCCTTTGCTGTAATCTCCAGCTGCTGTTCCCTGCGTTAAGTCATCATAGCCTGCCGGTGTGTACAAGACAAGGTGTTACAGTGCGCAAGCAGCTCTGCAGATGCTCACGTGAACAGCGCAGTGGTAAGCATACCTGCTCCATAGCCGTGCTGCCCGTAGCCACTCGCTTGCTGGAAAGGAGTCGACGCGGTGTTCAGGTTGACTCCATGCTGCTTAGCAGATGCTGGAGGTACCTGGACAAAGGAAGGCAACAAAAGGCACTGTTAACCGGGGAGCAGCAGGCAAAATGCAAACTCCCTCTGCCACCTAGTGGGGATGGCACCGGCATCTCCACCTCGCGTGGGAAATTCGATCTGCAGCTGGGAGCACTGGCATGGCATGGGACGAGGCACTCACGCTTCCAGCAGTAACTTGCTGTACTGGGTTTGTGCAAGCCCCAGGTTTTCTGCTAGAGCTGCCCCCCTGGTTGCAGTGCAACCCTCTCTCAGAACAGGTTGCGTATGTCTTTCATACACTGAATGTAAACAGCAAATTCTTACCCACAAACCCAGGAAGGAGCAACCACAGTGCTCTCCCTCCTGAATCAGACAAAACATCAATTCCTGCCTGAGGCTGTTTCATAAAACACTGTCTCACAGGGCCCTAAAATAGACTTACTACCCTTCTGACTGAAGCATCACCTTCTCCCAAATAACCTTCTGCCTGACACTACTAAGCACTGCTCTCTGACTTAATGGAGGCTCCTCCATCCTCAAAAGGATTTCCTAGGCATTCTCAGCTCACTGACTCAGCTTTGGACCTCCCTTTGACTCTCCAGAGACTGGTAAGGGCTTTCATGAACACTGAGTCCATGAGCTAGCTGTCTGCTATTTACAGTAAACCTGCACACGAGTCCATGAGTTCTGGCCTTTTAAATTTCCTGTTTTCTTGGGGAAGGGACTGCAGATATTTTCTCACAACTGCATGTACTTGGAGATCCCTTGCAGACTGGGGAACCTGATTCTATTCTATTCTTACGAGACCCGACCTGAGTACTAGATCCAGCTCTGGGATCCCCAGTATGAGAAAGACATGGCCCTGGAGAAGAGAAGGCTCCAGGGAGACCTTATTACAGCCTTTCAATACTTAAAGGGGGCTTATAAGGAAGACAGAAAAACTTTTTACCAGGCCCTGTAGTGACAGGACAAAGGGCAACAGTTTTAAACTGAATGAGGGCAGATTTAGATTGGACATAAGGAATAAATTCTTCCCTGTGAGGGTGGTGAGGCGCTGGCCCAGGGTGCCCAGAGCAGCAGTGGCTGCCCCCTCCCTGGAAGGGTTCAGGGCCAGGCTGGACGGGGCTGGGAGCCCCCTGGGCTGGTGGAAGGGGCCCTGCCCGTGGCAGAGGGGGGTGGAACTAGATGATCTTTAAGGTCCCTCCCAACCCAAATCATTCTGCGATTCTATGATATGGAAGGTTTGGGCTGGAGAGCACAAAACCAGAGAGGCATGAAGGGAGAGTTACAGGTCAGGCTGTCACACTTACAAACATGGTTGGCCCATACTGGAACGCACTGGGTACACCAGGCACACCAGCGTAATAAGGTAACCCAGTGTAGCTGTACCCTGGGGGCAGGGTCGGGTTGAGGAAGGGCTGCTGAGTTGTATGGTGAGTCTGTGTCTGGTTCTGCTGTGGCTGGGCGAGCGTGGTAGCAGGAGCAGGGGAGGCAGAATCCCCACGGCCAAATTTTGTTACGTCACCTGTGAAAGAAAGAACTGATCAGAAAAGCTATCAAAGCCACTCCAAAAGCAGAGAACTCAAAGGATTCAAATCCTTTGAATACAAGTAGACAACTACAGAAGAGAGTACACCCTACACTTGAAAGGCTGCAGTTGCTCATGGGAAGAACTCTCCCGGTCTCTGTTCCTGATGGCCACAGGGACATTGCCTGCTCATGGCACAGAACTCTGTGCCATGGCTAATCCATTGATAAAATGGAGATACCAGTACTTACCTATCTGACATGGTCTGAGTAGATTCATTACTATCAGATCATTGCAATAAAACAGGCTAAAAGCAGAAGTATGGTAAATAGCCAAAGAGCAAATGGTTGTTGGGTTAAAGTGTGACTCTCCTGGAGGTTAAACTGATTAGCTGAGCTTCATGGGCTGAAAGCAAGTTAGGATTTACAGGCAGCGATGGGCGTATTTTTGTCAATGTCTGTTTATTTGCTAAGCATGACTAATTATATGTCCGGTTCCTCACACCACCAAAGTTCTGAAGACAGTAGCTGAAGGCCAGGAAAGCAAGGCTTGCATCGTGGGCCACCTTATTGAAGAAGTAGGAAGGGAAATTTGGTTATTAACCCAAAAGCAGCCTCCCAAGAGAAGTGATTACGCAGCAGAAAACTCCCAAACACTTGCATTTTCTGGTGGCCTACAGAGCAGCACGATCACATGTATTTTAGGGAGGTGACCTACATCAATCACATCTATCTCATTCCCAACCAGTATTCATTATGTTGGTAACCAAGAAGCATGACAACACTTAATACTATCATTACAGGAATTATAATGCCTATGGCTACAGTTTTAAGCTGTAATCAGATAGCAGTGGATGAAAACCACTGGCTGAAAATCCGGGATGGCATTAATGTCATCTTTGCACAATGATAACTGAAGAGGAAGAGCAGGAATGAGGAGGGGCTTCTTCGACTATATGCTTTTGGGAATGAAGTCCATTAGATTTGGGGGGGGTGAAGGAGAGCCTACTAGGTGCAGCTCCTGCTGGGAACATACAAGTGCTAAAACAGCAATAGCAAAGTATGGGGAGGTGCTGAAAGGGGTATATTCCAGTGCCAGAAAAGGGAAAGCAAGCCAGCTGAATTTTGAGAAGAATGATTAGGTTATGGAGTATTTTTCAAGCACCTGTCTGTATGTGCCTGGGAAGGACACTAAATGACACTGCTGTTTATGTTCATAACATTTTTTCACTTATTCTCAAAGGCTATCCAACTTAGTCCCAGAAAAAGCCACATATGAATTACTGATCAAAACCATGAAGAAACATCAATGTCAGGGTTGAGAGGGAGATGCTCGCTTTTTGACTAGCTTGGACTGATGGGTTTAACTGCTTACAGAAGGGAAAAATGATTGCTCTTTCAGCAACAGCAGGATGACCTGCATTTAGAAACCAGCTCATTTTACTTACCAACCTCATCTTTAAATAGCACTCACCTGAGTACGGGTTGTTAGCAAGGCTCCCATCTCTGCCCGTCAAGGTTGCAGGAGCAGGGAATGTAATTCCGTAGTAATCCTTGGAAAGAGATAACACGGTTTTTTAACTGTTGAAATCATAACAGAAGTGGACAACTCTTAACCCCACACGATATGCATTAGAAAATCTAAAAAGGACAAACTACAGGAAGTTAGGGCAGAAGCTGACCTTATCACTTACAGCAGATCTAAAGATTTACCTGGATCCTCAACTTCAAAATAAACCTACTTTATAGACATTTTCAATATTATATACAAACACTTCATCTCTTAATGGTAAGGTTAAAGGCACAACTAAATGCCTTCCCCTCCCAGTCCTCAGCTCTGAGCTGTCATCTGCCAACAAGACTGCACCTGGAAGAGCAAAAGGCCATCAGGAGCCAAAGACGTGGGGTCAGGCCAGGACCATAATCACAGCGTGGATGTAGTCTAAAGGTTTTAGCCTTGTACCATGTCATGTTTTCTAAAAGTGGAAATGTCAGATAGGAAAACAGCATAAACATTCAAAAAATTAAAAAAAAAAAAAGGGAGAAAAAGAGTCATTCCTGGATGACTGGAAAATTTATTTAAACTATGTTACAGGATATCTCAGATCAGTAGTCTCCAAAGTGGGGTGCACAAGATAATTTAAAAGTAAAGTAAAATTTAAAAAATTTAAAAAGTGTTTAACCTTTCTCTTATACTTTTTTATTTTTGTGCATGTTTGGTAACATACATGTTAGTACAGTAGTATACGTTTATAATTTAGAAATAAAAACATATTGGGAGGGAATCCTCATGGATTTTTTACTGATGGGGTATATGATCAAAAAAGGTGGAGGCCACTGCTTTAGATCATTCTCTTAGGTCCTCTACAGGAAGGTAACACAGTTCTCAGCCTAGAAAGCTTGCACTCCGAGATGACAGGACATGACTGCAAAACTAAAGCAGCATTTTATCTTCAATTTGGGATAAAAATAGAAAAGTTTGCCCTTCTCTTTATGGATGAACTCCCCCTATGGGGCTGGTACGTTACTAAGCGTTTTCCCTCCTAATTCTCATGGTTTACTCCTCACCAGTTCCAATCCACCAAGAGTTAATGCTTTAACCACTAGCATATTAATTTCCAACAACTCCAGCACTAGAAAAGCCCCTCCTTCTTCATACATCTCTCTGCCAATTCCCCAGCACCTCAAATGCTTTCTCAGAGTTGACAGCACCTTCCTGTCTTGCTGCATTTTTGTGCATCAGCCCCCTGTTTCCTATTACCAATCCTCCATCACTGAACACAAAACAATCTGGCAAAGATTTAGTATTAAAGGTGATTTCTGTAACTTGAAATGATGTCTTATTTCATCATCCTTTCCCACCCAGGTAATTTCACCTTATCAACTCTGGCATGAATCACTTAACAAAACACAACCACCTTGACAATAAAAGCCTTATCAGGTTACTCAAAAACAGCATTCCTATCTCCTTTCAAGGAAAATGCCACAAAAAGCAGATTTGGAGAAGAGATCTGAACAGCATCTGATGGATATGAACTGGAACTTACACATTAGCATTTCCCCTATATAAACCAGACAAAATATAACCAAATCGCATGAGAACATGGTCTAAGGATTGCAATTATTCCCACTGCCCCTCAGGTGGGGGAAAAATCACATCAGCACTGCATATCCCTATCCCACACTCCTGTGCATACACACATTCAAAACAAAAAAAACAATCAGAAAATATAAGTGCAAGACAGTTATCTTTGCACTTCATGCCCACCCACAGCAAAACATCAGAAGAGATACTCTGCTCTCCAAGCAACATTGGTATTTCCTGACCTACAGAAAGCATGCAGTGGAAGGTGTCTAAAGTCAAAAGTGAAATATCAGGAATAGACTCAAAGGGTGAGATGGAAAAGGACTGAAAAATGATAACTCGTCTGATGTAATACATTTAAGCACAACGAAGCAGCTTGCTAGGAACCACACACACCAGCTAAGGCATCTGTAAGATCTCTGCCACACAGGCAGCCTGCAACAGACTAACTGAAAAGATAGCATTTCCCAAAGTAATACACACACACACACACATACAAAAAACCCACTGCCAAAAAACACAGTGAGAATTTACATCATCAACATAGACATCAATTAACTGATTTAAATTAAACCAGAATCCCCTCCCAAACCTCATGAGAAACCCCCATTCTTGATGTATCAGCAGCCACTGAAATTCCTTGACTCCCAGGAAGCAGTGATGACTTGCACTTGGGATTCTGCACACTTTCACTTTCTAGATGTATGCCAAAGAGCACGTCAAAGCCAAATATTCCCACCTCCTCCTGCCTCCCAAACACCTAATATTGCAGAGTTATTACAACAAATTCAAAACACAATGAAAAAAAATCTGGAAATCACAATCATTGTATGAATAGTTGATGAAAAATCATTTGTGTCATTTATACATTTATTCTTAGTTATCAACACACTGAGGACAAACAATTAGGGGGTTGAAGGGGATGACAGATGTCCCCAAAATATTCTGTAAGATACTTTCAGAGAGAGGAAAAACTCTTCCTACAGCAAAGCTGCAGATGCAACAGAGAAAGGAAAATGAAAGAAAATAAAGTAATAGACTGACAAACTGAAAATATTTGTCAGTGAGAAATAAAGGAAAAGAGGGATTAATTCATATATACAAATAATACCAGAGCACGGAAAACAAAAAATATATGTTGGTAGGCTGAGAAATGTGAAAATAAAATGCAAGAAAACCAACTCATAATACAGACAAAAAGGAAATCCTGAAAAGCATCCCAAGCACAGCTGGCCAAAAGACGCAGCCACAAGAGCTTTCAAATCATGACCTGAACCACAACAGCACAGGAGTGGGACTCCCTCAGCAGCAGCCATGGGAAAGAACAAGCTCCACTTCTCGTGGAAAGGGCCAAGCTCCTGCTCACACTTTGGCAAGCACAACAAAAGCCCGGGGAGAAGGTAAACGGAAAGCAAAACTGAAAAGGGAAGCAGGGAAATTCTGCCTACTTGACGATGATGAAAGGAAAGCCACAGCACCACATAAAGCCGCCCGGCCGGCAGCACCCCAAGCACAGCGCCCACCCGCACCGCCACCACGCCGCACCCGCCTCCTGCCCAGCACCCCCCACGCGGCACCCACAGCCCCACCATGCCTGCGCCCGCAGCCCCACAGCCCCGCCTGCGCCCCGCCGCCCCGGCGCTCCTGCTCCTCCTGCCGCCTCTCGCCACCGCCCTCGCCTGCCACCACCTGCGGCCCCGCCACGCCACCTTCCCCTGGGACAGCCTCCAGCTCCTCCAGGCCGTGGCTCCCAGCCCGCCACAGCCCTGCCACCACCCGCACCCGCCCGCCTTCCCCGACACCCTCCTCCACACCCACCGCCCACAGCAAGCCGCCCACACCGCCCTACGCATCCTCCAGCACCTCTTCCACACCCTCAGCAGCCCCAGCACCCCCCAACACTGGGACCACGACGCACGCCACCGCCTCCTCAACAACCTCCAGCACCACATCCACCGCCTGGAGCAATGCCTCGCAGGCAGCGCCACGCTCGACCAAGCCCAAGGGCCCCGCGACCTGCCGCTCACCATCAGCAAACACTTCAGCGACATCCAACACTTCCTCCGCACCCACAACCACAGCGCCTGCGCCTGGGACCGCGTCCGCCTCCAGGCTTGCGCCTGGTTCCTACAGGTGGGCACACTGATCCGGCAAATGACGAGCCAAGACGCTCCTGCCCCCCACCCAGCCCACCTGCACCAGAGGTCCAGCCCCACCCAGCGCTGGCAGCCGCGTATCGAGCAGAGGCGGCAGCAGCCCGGGCTGGGATTGCTCAGCACTGCTCACACCTCTGCCAGCCAGCAGCCCGCACCGACGGGGAAACGGGCATGACCGCGGCAAGGGCCCGCACCCCTGCATCAGGGCCACAGCCTCGCTGCAAAGGGAGGACGAGGAAACTGCGCTGCTGCATGCTTACCGACAGCTGCGAGGCTCTGGGGAGAGGGCTGGTATTTCTTACCCACCGTGTGAGCTAGCCCGTCCAGCCTGTGACCTCCCCCGCTGGAGGGGAAGGCCCCCATGGACACTGCGGGACTCTTACGCCAATGACCGCTGATCACAAAACTCTATTTAGTTGCTTGTTTGTGCGTTAATTTATTTATTTATTTAGCCAGCCATTAATTTAAAAATTTGCATCTTTATTTATTCATTCACTTGTTGCAAATAAAGACTTTTCGAAAAGCAAAAACGAAGGAAAAAGAAAAGAGGTGTTCGTCACGCGTGTACCTGACAGGCAAACCCAGGGTCCCTGCAGGCAGGCAGGGGTGAGCCTCCCTCCTGCAGCCCGTTCCACCAGTGCCCCACGTCCCAGTCGAAGGCTCCGGACAGCGGGTCCCTCTGGGCACCCACAATGGTCCTTCAAGCCCACGGGCATCTCCTGCTGATGCCAGACCTCCAGGGCACACGTGCCCAGAGGACACGATGCCTGCCCCGCGCACTTCTCTCCCACCACCCACTCTCCCCCTTCCCAACCCCCTCCCACTGACAAGACATCAAAGCCACCTCCAAACCACCACCTCCTCACAAACCAGCACTCAGCAATGCCGCAGCACCGCCTGGGACCACGCAGGGTGGCGTAAACAAGGTGCATGCAACTCAAAGGGGCAAGGAGCGGACGCACCAAGGCATGCAGAGATTTGGACAGGCAACACCAGTCCAGGGCTACCCACCCCACCCAAGAAACACCAGAAAGCCTCTGAAAACACAGCACATGCCCAAGACTGCTCCTTGCTCGCCTACAGCCACCACAACTGGCCCAGGATGCTCCTGCCTGTGCTCACACACCAGTGGCCATGGGGACCTGCCTCGCTACACAGAGCTCATTCACTTAGCCCTTTTTCACCCCAACACATCCTTAGCAAATGCAAAGATACATCCCCCAAACACCACCATCCAACACGCTCCCAACCAACCAGCACAGACCAGACCAGCACAGCCCTCTCCTTACAGGAAACTGCCCTCACACCACCA